TTAAAACATCTCCTTGTGCATTTGAGTTATTCCAAATGCACTGTCGACAGCACTTCATCTGGAAAGAGGAACTGCTGCTTTTCTTTGCAGAATTATAAGAATTTTGGGCCCCATGCTGCCTCTTAATCTGAATGCATAGTGCATTTCCTTCTAGTGATATCAGGACTTTGCAGAAGTTCCTCTTCTGTTCTGGTTTTCTAAAAATGTATTATAGTAATTTCAGAAAACAAGCATTTCCACTTGAACCGAATGGTTACCTTTCCTGAAGATAATATGGAAAAGGCTGGTTAGTTTAGTAGGATCTTCTTTTCTGAGAAGTTGAACAAAAGCAATAACTGAAATACAGCAGACAGGCAGAAGGGGAGCAATGATTCTGTTGAACGCAGTGGAGACTGCTAGGTCAATATAAAAAGAACATTCAGATGCTCGCTCAACTTACTGTGCAAGCCCTATTCATAGCTAAATAAGAAATCCACTAGTCAAAGAAAAGATGTCGCTGAAAGTGGCATCCAAAGGTGGATGCCAGGCTTTGGTTTTACCACCCCTGCTCCTGTATCTACTTCACACAGAAGCAAAACTGAGGAAATCCCTTAGCCAAGGCGGTCTTTAATTGTTTGAAAGCAGAGAGCTTTTTAGGAAAGACATTCAGTGGTGCGGCAAGGGGGAAAGCATGGGGTATGCCCATGTATTTTTAGGCCCAGAAGTGGGTCTTGGAGGAAATGGGGGGTTTGTAAAATGCCGGCACAAGAACACAGGTGATTTCTTAATTGTAGTCTGGTAGCCAAGTTAGGATTCTTGGATTGTTCAGCCCTGGTGCCTTTCAAGCCTCTGTTGACAGGTGGGGAGAAGGGCTCCCCGTTTGGCAGTTATGCCACATGTTGCCTTGTGGCTTAAGCAGCCTCACACAGGCACCCTCCACTGACCGGTGTTCAGGGTGTCAGCCTGCCACAACTGGATGCCCTCCAGATGTTTTGGGCTGCTTCTCGCATGATTCCTGCCCATTCCTCACGCTGGCAGGGACTGATGGAGTTCAAGTCCTGAACCTCTGGAAGTGAGCCTGCTGGAAAAGGCTGATGTAGGAGCAGGGCTGTAGCTCAGTGGGAGAACATCTTGCTTGAGAAATGGGGCTGAGAGCAACTCTGCTTACTCCACCTTGGGCAGCCTTGTGAGTTGCTAAGTGGACTTCCCCCTGGAGCCTGGAGCGCCTGGTAGTGGCTTTTGGCCTAGTCCTCTTTAAGGAACTAGTGCTTCTTTATGCTTGTACGGTTGCACGAAAGCCAGAAATGTTCAGCTCTTCCTGGCATGGAAGTAAAGTGGTGATCAAAGAAGGGCCTGTTTATCTATGCTTGCCTTGTAGCTTTACTTAATTTAAGTAGCTCGCTGCACTCTCACCTGTGACAACTACAGATTGCCTCTTGGCAAATAAGGAAGGACTTTTTTCTGAAGTGAATGAGTATGGATCTGCTCTCCATCTCTTCCGTTTTCAGGCTGTTGGTCTGCCATAAATGACTTGCATGCATTAACTCTGGGCTTGCTTGCATGGCTGTTAGTGATGGCAGAGACAGATAGGAAACTGTATTTTAATAATTAATGCCATTTGACCTTTGTTTCCTATTTTTGCTTGCATTTTATCATTATTCAGTTTTTAATATGCTGTTACTGGTTTTATTGTATTTTTATCTTGTAATTGTGAACCGGCCAGAGGTGCTGTCGCACAATTGGGTGGCATACAAATGTTTTAAATAAATAAATAAAGAGCTGCTATCCTGGCTGGGAGTTGGATAACAAAGGAGCCAGGCTGGGCTTTTCTTGGGTCACGACGTTGGTTGGTTTGCCCTTTTTTTCCCCACAAGCCATTTTAAACAAGGCAACCATTGCTAAAGATATTCTAATGAGCAAGAGACTTTACTCCTTAAAAAAGTTAAAAAGCCCCGGAATCCTCAAAGGCATTCCAAACAGGGTAGTGCTGCTATCTCCATTTTGTAGTTGAGCAACTGGTCCCTGGGGATGTTGGCTTGCCCAAGCCCTGTGGATGTGTGAGCTGCTTGTTTTGTCGGGCACCCTAGGAACAGGGTGGGGAAATCAATGCATCGATCGGTATCAGCGAGAACATTCATGGCCGTCCTCACAGGATGACTGTGCCAGCTAGTAAGTGCCTGCGGTGGTAAGTGCAAGCGTGGCTGGCCGGGCCCGAGACCTGCCAAGCAAGACGCCAGTGCTGCAGCTCGGAAGTGAGGCACAGGAGATGTCGTGGATTGTGGCGCGCAAGTATTCCTGGCTGCCCGTCTCAGCAGTTCAGTCACAGCTATGCCACAGTTTTACAGGAGCCTTTATTCCACCGCCTGCTATTACACTCACATAACTCACGGCAAAAGACAGTTCCCCCGCCCCTGTGGCTCAGGCTTTCATCGTAGTGAGATAATTTACGGGGCTGCCTGTATGTGGAGAATGCAAGCAGAGAGTCTGTTTGACAGGGCTGTTTTACTGGTAGTTGTTAATGGGCTCTAGAGGTGAAAGGCTAACGGTGCTGTTCACTTACCATCTTCCTACCAGCCAACACGGGTATCATCAATGCCAGAATATAGGAAGGCTCTGGAAACACAGCCAGGCATCCTGAAGCAGCCACTAAAGAAGCAGAGAAGAATGTTCAAAGAGCCGTTAACAGGCTGTGGTATAAACAAATAGTGTGCTTGCTTAAAACCAAGCTTTAGAAAGGCCGCTGCTTGAAAATGTTTAACACAAAAGCAAGTCTCCTCCTCTGAGCCATCACCCTGTCAACGCAAAGGTGTTTCCAGATGCCATCAGAGAGGCGTTCAGGCCATTTGATGTCCCTTCCCCAGCCTGGTGTTGGGGGAAGTCCAGATGTTTTGTGCTCTGGTTCTTAACATTTTTCCTGCCCATTGGCCACGCTGGCTGGGGCTGATGGGGGCTGAAACACCTGGCAGGCATCGTGTTGGGGAAGGGTGCCCTAGTTGAACAGGTAGGGCACTTTGTACTGGTTGTCCACATCCAGAAGGGAGGTTTCAAGGACCTGCTGCTGAAGCTGTGTGGTCAGTTGCCCCTCAGTCTGTGGTGGGCACCTTCTTGCCCTCCAGATATTTTGGCCTACAACTCCCATTTGCCTTAGCCAGTGCGACCAGCATTCAGGTATGCTCAGAGTTAAACTAATTCAGAATTACTGAATTGCTTCCAGATGGAGCTGCAAGGTTGTGAAGCCCTAAGAAACAGCTCAGGAAAAGTCCTTACAATGGTAAATGGTTGAGACCGAAGTATTTTTATTTCTAGCCTGATCTGCCCCCAGGGCTTCGGCATGTGTTGTGTGTAAATTCATGCACAAGGCAGGTCTTTGTCCTCGAAAGGCAGAGTTCCCAACTTTTCCACTGGCCACTCTAGTGTGCCTTTAACAGCAGGTTGGTACACAGATATTAGCCTGCCTGCATAGCTATACATGAGCTAGCATGTCCGGTCACCTTTGCTAAGCTGGAAAGGTACAGACCTGCAGCTGGATGGGTGACCCTGTGTGGAAATGGAGCAGGGGCGTGGATGCAAAGGTCTTATAGGTCCCTTCCAATGCTCCTGTTCTTCCATTCTACTCTGCCTTGCCAGATGACCCTGTTTACCTTTGTGTTATGAAAAGTCTTGCATTCTGAATTCTGCGTATTGCCTTTCAGAGCACACCAAGGGGCAAGAGCAGGCTGGTCAATGTGTATCTTTCCCTTCTTGGACAGCTGGAAACACTGTTCAAGGACCAGAGTTGTCAGTTGTCCACTACGAGGTTGTATCTGACGCTTTAAAAGTTCCCAGACCATGAGCTGAGATACAGCTGTTGCAACTGCTTCCCTCCGCAGCTGTGCCATGGCACAGAAGTGAAGTCTGCGTGTGATGGTGTGTGCAGGTGCATGTGCTTGAAAGAGGTGAGAGACGTGGGATGCAGCTATGTGCATGTTGAGACGGCAAAAGTCCTATGACAAGCAGCATCTTCTAACCAGCTATGCTGGCTTTGTAGGACTTCTTTCTGCCTAAATGTGCATAGAGTTGCATTCTTTCAGAGAGAGGGCCGGTGGAACAGAAGAGTGCAGGTGTGGATGACTTGTTGCCTTCCAGATGTTTTGGTCTATACCTCCCATTATTGTTGACCAGCATAGTCAATAGTGAGGGATCCTGCCAGTTGTAGAGCAAATCTGGAGAACTACAAGTTGCTGGTTATGTAACGTCTTACTGTTTTAGGATTCCTTAAAAAATTCCAGGTGTAATATTTGGGTATTGGCTGTCTGACCATATACATACCTACTCAGAAGCAAGCCTCACTAAAATCAACGGGGCTTAGAGGCTAATAAATTAATTTAGAATTGTGCTCTAAATTGGGTCATGTAGGAATACAAAGAAAATACTTAATTCAAGTCAAAGTGTCTAAAATGGTAAGAGAATTTATTCTAGTTTTGTTTGAAGTGCAACATACAAGCATATGTGCACACACATAAAATGTGTGTGTTTAATTCCTTTTGAAATTTAACATGTGCTCCCATTCTTGCAGAATTAGGTACAGACAAATGAAGAACAAATATTTTAAAGTGTAAAATGACTGTCAATTAAATACCTTGCTGTGGGGTAGTCTACCTGCCAGTTTTTCGTAATGATGCTATTAAAGCATTGCTTGTTTTTCTTCTGAAAGGCTTGTTCATCACGACATTCAAGCTGTCGCCTATGAAAGGCTGCCTGGGCAAACCTGTGCATGCTAACTTGGGAACTCCATTTCACAGACCTTCCTTCCTTAGGGTTAGGCTGCTGAGTTTGCAGTCCTGGGACTTTTGCAGCTGGTGTGATTGACCTTCCAGGAGCTTGCTTCACAGGCTGTTGTGTGTGTGCGTGCGCATGCGAGTGTGCTTTCAGGAAGGGGAGGTGGCCAATATGAGCAAATTGCTGCTTTAAGGAAGGATGTGAAGAAGCAACTTTTTGAAGAGAGTCATGCATGCTTTTTAATTGATTTTTTGTGGTTGCAGAACACCACTGGGAGCCTCTTTAGAGGAGCAGAGCAACCCAACTTTAAAAGGTAAGGATCTGATGTTTTGAGTGCTTTTCTGTTTCATTTTGTTTTTTTGGGGGGGGGGGTGATTTGTGTCAAAACTACAGAAATGACAACTCAAAACATAACTTTGAGTTGATTGTGTTAGGAAGTTGCTGAGATAGACCTGTTCCTTTGCGGTATTTCTGATAGGAAAGGCTTGAGGGGAGTGATGCGGGACTCGAACAGTTAAGGAATTCTTAGTAGTTTTGCCCTAGTGATAAGGGCAGGGTGCTTGGCAGGGGGTGGGAGAGGGAGTTAGTTGATAAGTGCTATACTGAGAAGTAGGTCAACCTTGTGGTACAATCTTTCTTTGCTTGCTCTGACTGAACTTGCCACACCTGAAAAGTTACCACCTGCGCAAACCAGAATGCAAAAGTTCAAAGTACAACAAGAACCTACAGGTAGTGACAGCACAGAGAAGAAGCCCGTGTAGTAGCCGGAGCAACTTTCTTTCAGTGTAGAGGAAAGAAAGGATGTTTGTTCCAGACGGTTTGTTAGGCCTGAAACTCCCTGGTAAGATACTTGAAGACTAGCTTAAGATGCAGTATTTCCATTACTGAAGAAAATGTGATGTGGAGGGACCAAAGGCATGTAAGCACTGGCTGATTTGAAATGGCCATTTTTCTTTAGCCTGACAACAGGACTCTTTGCAAGTGTTCTTTTGCTTTCCTTTCTGTGTAGTACTTGCTGTCTATGTTCAAACTAGTAATATCTGTTAGTTTGAGTGTTCTGTGGGGAATTGCAGAGTAGAGACAAGTCTCCAAAGCTCATTATGGGCTTTTTAAAAAGTTTTTTTTTTTAATATACTAAAGTTTTTAAAATTGTACTTGGTGCTCTGTGTGGTAAATTGATAATCCAGAATTTCGGAAGGAAAGCATGACACTGGAAGCTCATTTTGCCAAACTGACATCTTTCTAGGCATGCTGGTGAGAAATGGAGGAAGTTTTGAAGATGACTTATCTCTGGGAGCTGAAGGTGGGTGTAACATTAAACGCATGATTATTGCTTTTGTCCCCAAGTCAGAATCCTCAAATATGTTAAACCTTTTACTTTAGTGGAACCGTCTGGGTTATGTTGTCTGTCAGCTGGGAGGAAGAGGAGGGAAAAGAGAAACCTGTGGAAAAACATGCAAGAAAGAGAAAGGATAATATCTTTCAATGAAATGGGCAAACTTGGCATACTCGCGGGCCAGTTCTGGAGCGCAGGATGTGTATTTCAGTAGAGCATACTGTTTCAGTGAAGCATTAAGACATTGAAACTTCATTATTGCAACATTCCCCTCTCTTTCTTCCCTTTTCCTTAAACAAAAACCAACAAAACTTCTCATCTTTTTTCTTTAAACAAAAACCAACAAAAGTCTCATCTTTTTTTTTTTTTTCAATTGGAGAGACCAGAAATTGGGGCCTGCTGCATCTGAAACAAGTGCCCTGGACCACTGAGCCGCAGTAGCTCTTCTGGGGATGAATTATGTTCCAGCAGAGGAGGAGTGCTGCAAGACTCGCTGCAGACAATCAGCTGCAGTCGCTTGCAGCCGTGGGAATGAGAAGTAAGGTGTGGTGCATTAGGCGGCTGACCCCAGGTTGCTGCCTCTGTTCCCCCTGCTTCCACTCTCCCACGAAAGACTCGTAGAGAGCGATCTGGTTGACGGGATTTTGTCAGTAGAAGTAATTGCTGAAGAGCCCAAGGCATGGTTGTAGAAGGCGCATGGTGCAGTAGCTGAGCTTTACAGATATGGGGGTAGTCAGCGTAGAACAGTGGTTCAGGTGTGGGTGTGAGACTTGACAGATGCAGGTTCTGGTCCCCACCTGGCCGCAAAGCTCACCGGGTGACTTTGAGGCAGTCAGGGACTCTCAGCCCATCCTTCATCGCAGGGTTGTCGTGAGGATGACATGGAGGGGAGAGCATTGTGTTTCTTGCAAGAGGAAAAAAGGCAGGATAGAAATGAAATGCACGTGATGATGATGGGCATAGCCTGTGCAACACCCCTGAGGACCCCAATGCATGCTTCCTTGAGCTTCTGGAAGAAACAATGTAGGCGTATGGTGTGTGAAATTGATGCATTTACTTTTATCATAATAATTTAATAGATTAGTTGTGCTTAACTTGTGTTTTGATGCATGCGTCATTTATATGGTGCTTGGTAATCCCTACTGTAGAAAATGAAGTTTCTCTTCTCAAACTTTCATGCTCCCTTAAACCGTTGAACCGTCATATCCACTTATCTGTGTCTGTCCAGCCTGTTTTGTTGACATCAATTTTCGCTTATGCCCTCAAGGCAGTAGGATCAAGTTCTTGGCAAGGAGGATATTGACAGTGTTGTTTTTGTTGAAAGACTTTGGGATAGTAGAGAAAAAGGCCTGAAAAAGCCCTCAGTGCTCCTCCTTTAATGAGATGTTTTTGAAACAGAGCACACTGGATTAAAAGATTTCCCTATTACAGACATTTAGCTTAAGGCTCCTGAGGTTGCTAAAGAAGACATTTACGTTATTTCCACTGTGTGCTGGTATGATTTGATTTCTGATTACAGTCATTTATTTATAAAACAAATAGATGCTGGAGTGGCACTCAGTAAACTTTTAAAAGGTGAGGGGAGCGTGCTCTGCCAGAGCGTCATCTCTGGGCTGCTTCCTGTATTCGGCTGTAAGCACATTCCTTCTGGAATATTCAGTAAGTCTGGAGAAGGAGATGTGTTCTAAGCAGGCCTGCTGTAACCAGATTAGCTTTTCAGGTACTGATGATGAGAGAACTGGTTGTGCCTCAAAGACTCTTTTCTCCCCATAACTTTATTGACATTACATTATTTATGTTCCTGTACTATTATTTGCATATATATACGTTTTGCAGATTTGTGTGTGTGGAAGCATTACAGAAACCTCTGATTAAATATCATCGCAAGAAAGGTTTTTTTTAAGAATGCCTTTAACCCAAACTCTTTCAAAGGTTAGCCCTTGTACCAGGGTTCCAGTGGCTTTGCGAGATCTTGCTTTGCACCTGAGGACATGTTTTTAGATGGTTGGGATAAGGGGGAGAGATGGTAGCCATGCAGAAATGGACTGTTGTTATGGAACAAAGGGGCAGGGCCTAGCATACATGGGGACGGATGCTCAGCTCCATCCTGGTCCCACTTTGATCTCTGCTATTCTGCAGTGATAGCACCACATTCAAAGTCCTGTTGTTTGTTGTGTCAAGTGCCTCTTGTTTTGTTAGTGCCTTCGATTTATAACTATTTCTCCCTCTACTTTCTCCTTCAGCTAATCAACTGCATCAAAGCAGCGAACCAATGGAAATTTGGTAAATATTCATTTAGGAGTAATGCTTGTCATGGGGGTACAACTGCAAGGCTTGTACAACTGCATCTGTATAAAACCTGGATTTATTGAACAGATTGTCATCTCAGATACATATCATAGGACAGAGCTGTGATTAGCATTTTAAGCAAATATCAGACATTGAAAATGTGTGGGTTGTAAAAATAAATACAGTGGTCATAATTAAAATTGTGCTGGCAGGGATCTGAGGTCACTGCCAAATGTGCGAGTTCCCCACATCTAAAAAGGGGTTTCTGATACCTGATGTGCAGATCTGATTGCGGGGGGGGGGGGGGGGGGTGCTGTGATTTTTCTGGAGAATGGTTCTCCATGGTTTTGTCAACAGTTGCATGTTAAAAAGGGAGTTTGATGCAGGCCCCTGAATATGGTATTTTATCCTTCAGTGGCTTTTCATCAGAGAATAAAGTAAAAGTGCAGGCAGGGAAAAGGGTGGGTTTCGGAGGGGTCATGGAAATTTTGGCTGCAATGCTGCAGCTGTCTTCCTAAGTGAAAGGGAGTGTTGTTCTCTCTCCCGCACCCTCAAATGATCAAAAGCAACGTGCACTTAAGAGAAATGGTAAAATCTTGTATAGTCGGGATGAGATTAAAAGAGGATGAAAACTTGCCGTCCTTTTAACTCTCGTTTCGTTTGTGTTGTCAGCAATGGTATGCTGGCAAAGGACAAGAGACTCCAGTTTCATCAGAAGGGGAGGAGTATGAATTCTACTGGCTCGGCAAAAAGCAGCACAACCGTCTCAAGGTAGGCAGTAAAAAGCAGCCCTCTTGGATCAGCCCAAGCGTCCGTTCTAGTCCAGCACACAGACATGAGTACAGCAGTGCAAGGAAACACTTGATATCCTGGGGCTTGGAATAGGTCTGTGGAAGTCCCCCCCCACCATTTGTTTCCTTTACAAGATTCTGAGGGTGGTCTGAGGGTCTGCATTTTGCACAGCTTGATAAACTCCCTCTTTGAGGTCAGTTCGCAGACCGGCAGCTCTTGCAGTTCCATGCTAAATGCGATGGGAGCAGCCATATTTGCTGTCCGCATGCCTGCCCCATTCTTCTCTATTTTCTTTTTACATCTGGAGGGTTCTGCCACTCATGGAATTGAATCCCGCACCCCAGCCCTGCTGAGCTAGCTCTCTGCAGCGCCTTTTCCTCAAGTTGCCTCTCTCTCTCCATCATCAGAGGCAGACTCCGAGAGGAGGGCTTGAGGCAGGAGAAGGGTTTTGCTCCTTTCACTCGTGCCCTCCCACCCAATATGACAAATCACACCCTCTGCCTTGCCTGAACAGTGTCGATGACTTGACCCCCCCCCCAACCCCACATAGCCTGGCTCCATTTCAGCGTGGAACCGAAATCCCATAGAATCTGCCTTGCAAACGGATTCAGTGTCCCCATCCACAAACCAGTTGAGTGGAATTATCTGAATCTGGGACCACAGTTCTTGTGACACTTCTTGAGGAGTTAGTCCTATTGATCTCATTAAGACTGACCTGAGTCACTATGCAAATGAGCTACAGACTTGCCTCGATCTGCAGGACTTAAGTCTGAAATCATATGTGAGGCGCTCTTAGGCACATGTGCTAAGAGGCTGAGCCCTGTTTGTGTGTCCCTCTTCGTACAATTGCAGTTGCGTGGTAGAAAGGGACAGGGGTGGGAGAGCTGGACTGTGCTTGCAAAACGCGCCCGCCTTGCCACAGCCCTGTCTCCCTCCAAACTACTGTGCTGGGTCCCTCCTGAGCACAGTTCTGAGGCTGCCCTCATGAATAGCAAAGGTGCCCTGCTTCCCAGTGACAGAACTGGTGATTGTGGAAGGATGGACAACCGCACTCTTGCTCTCCCCTTTGTATGATTACAGGGGCGTGGGGACAGCGCATGAAGGGCTTGCGTCTTGTTTGGACTGAAATAAACTGAGTGTCACAGCGTCTTGGCCAAAAGTAGACCAACTCATCATTCTGAAAGTAAACATATACTTGGTAGTAAACCTCACATAGTCTAACAGATCCTTTCATCTCCCTTAAAGTGTTTGAATCATAGACTAAAAATAAGTTCTTAACCAGGTTGTAGATTTTGTTTATTCTTTACTAAAGACAGAGGGCAGAAGGCAATGCTTGCATTTTTGTTTCTAGTGTGTCTGAACTACTAGAACTATATGAAGAAGATCCTGAAGAGGTCCTGTACAATCTTGGATTTGGCCGTGATGAACCAGACATTGCTTCCAAAATCCCATCAAGGTTTTTTAATTCATCATCCTTTGCCAGGGGGATAGATATCAAGGTGTTTCTGAATGCCCAATTGCAACGCATGGAAGTAGAAAATCCCAATTTTGCTTTGACAAGTACGTAAGTTAAATTTAACAGCATGATTATAAAGCACTCAATTAAGAATCTGACTTGTTTTGTGAATAGTCCAAACAGCTTCATTTATTGGGCTCTACAGAAAGTTTGAAAGGGTGTGATGTTGCAAGATGGATCTCTTGCTTTGAAAGCTATTAAAGTAGGAATTATAAAAATACTGAAATTAACTATTTATTATAAAGCTCCTCTAGTTTTGAACTTTCTGAGCTTGGTCACATGGGGAGAGGGAGCCATCCACACATTCAGCTGCTCAGCTTCCTGCCCCACCTTCTACCACCTTCCCCTCACCCTGCAACTGAAGAGGTCAGTTTTTCTAAATTACTGTGAGTTTTTAAACCAGCATCCCCTAACCTGGGGCCCGACTGTCCCAACTCCTGTCATTCCTGATTGTTGGCCATGCTGGTTATAGCTGATGGGAGGTTGTAGGACAAAACATCTGGAAGGACTCAGGTTGGGCAAGACTGGGCTGAACGTTTGATGCCATGCTGAAGACAAGAGATGGCAGAAGAAGAATGCCAGTGCAATGCTACTGACACATGGGATGTAGAATCCAGAATGGGGAGAAGGTCTGGCAAGAGGGTGTGGAGCTGGCTTGAAAGGAATGGCGGGGCTTTGTTATGCTCCACTTCCTTCCTCCTCCTTTCCCTGAAAGTGTTCATAAGCACATTCTATGTATTGCTTGCTTGCTTGCTTGCATGTGTATACTGCCCCATAGCCCATAGGGCTCTCTGGGTGGTGTATAAATACCATATTAAGTCACATGCAAAAACATTGCCAGTCACATCCAAAAAAATGCTTTCCTTCAAACAGCTTGAAATGCCAAAGTGTTGTCAAGACTAGTCCTGTGTTGACTTTCATTCTACTTCCTATAGTGCTGTGAAAATAATACCATAAAAAGAGCAACTGTATGGTAGATTGTCTGATGCCTCAGCTAGAGAATGTAAAAAACAGTGCTTTGACAGTCAAGAATTCTTTTAAGCCATCACTTTTCAGAAACTTGGGTAATGGATTTAACCAGGATATGCAAGGATCAGAAATCTGGCATGACCTTGGCCCTTACGTCCTGTTGTATTCACTTTGTTTTTACCTTTTGCCAATTCCAAGTTATTTGTCACTTCAGTGTTGAGCTTGACAATGCTGCTCTTTGTTCTCTTTGTCATTTCTGTGTTGTCCTTTTGCCAGGCCGCTTTCGTCAAATTGAAGTGCTCACTACGGTGGCCAATGCATTCTCTTCCTTATACTCCCAAGTTTCTGGCACTCCATTGCAGAAAATCGGGAGCATGAATTCGACCGCTTCCAGTAAGGAGGCCTCCAGCCCTCCTCCTCTAGTGCGAAGCAACACTGCAAATCGTTTAATGAAGACCTTATCTAAACTCAATCTTTGTGGGAACCCGCAGACAGGGGAAGGCGGCAGCTGCACAACAACCTTGCCAGCTGAGAAGGGGAAATCTGAACATGGGAATGATCAAGCTGAGGTGAAAAATGAACCCAAAACTCCCAAACACTTTAAAGCATCTCTTCTGGCTACAGTAAAAGAGGAGGTACCTAGCAATCATCCCAGTAATGCGGAGGTTCTTCATTCCTCTGAACTTTCAGCTGGCACGAATGCTGAGCAGAGTGACGCTGTGCCTCACGGAGATGAGCAAAATAGTGACTCTCTTGCCTGTTCAGAGAGACTCCATGAAAAGGCTGCTGTTACGAACACTTCCGATCTCGAGGGCGATATGGCAGAATTGACCATCTGTGGGCTCGAAGGAAACACCAACCTGCAGACTCCTACTTCAGCGTCAGATCCAGAGCCTTGCACTCGGCTGGCAAACCCATCCATTGTCAACCTCATGCTGCAGCAGAAGGACTCCTTCGAGATGGAGGAGGTAAGTGGCCAGGGACTTAATTCTTGCAATGTGCAGATTCTCTGTGAGTGTCCTCCGGCAATGATGGAAACAGTGAGTTAAGCGAACAGACCAGCAAAGCTGCTGAAGTCGTTCTGTGATGCCCAGCTTCTTGGCTTTGTGGCAGAGTGAGGCAGTGCAGATGAGCAGGGCTTAGCTAGGATTTTAAACCCGATTCATATTGGTTTAATCTACTGGTGAACTCTTGTAAACTTCTGCTAACTGCAGAGCTGGCAAAACTGTGGTTTTAAGTCACAGCATGAGACTTGCAATCAAGAGAAAATGGAAGGGTCTGGTGAAAGGAAGCTTGGTAATCTCACTATCTACTCCCAGGATCCTTGAGTGTGGTGAAGAGATCAGCCTGGTGTTAAGGCCAATCGCTGTTCATGGCCACATATATGGGGTGGGGTCAGTGTGCAGGAGAGCTACTCGGATCTTGTGCCTGCTGCATCATTTCCATGGCTTGTCATAAGAGAGCTGTAAGGCATGTGAGCATGTGGTCTGTGGATGTCTTTTAGCCCACAAAGTAGTGTTGCAGCATTTTTAATTGGTGAACAGAAGCAAGTGGCCTTCTAAGTGAAGCTCTTTGCACAGAGGAGAACTAACAGGTCCATGAGAAATCCGTGTGCGTGGTGACTATAGCTCTGCCTGCTGTCTCATGACTGGTGCTGGCGGAAAGCCAGTCACCTAATGTGAATGGACTGGCTTCATGGCCTCCTTGCTTTCTTGTGCAGAGGTAGTGCTGGTGTTGTAGCCTATAGAATAGGTGGAGGTGTAGCTCAGTGGCAAAATGTAAGCCTCTGTATGGTGTAAGCTGCCTAGGAAGGCCTTTTGGCAGTTACAGGCGGCCTGTAAATAATCGAATGAATAAAGAAATTAGTAAAAAGCGTGCCCTGCATGTAGGAAGTCCCAGCTTCAGTGTCTTGCACCTGCAGGTGAAAGTGGCAAATAGCTGCTCTTTATCATTTCTGCAAAGGCACCTCAGGGTGCTGGTTTTGACCCATCAAGCCCCCCAGTGCATGGACCCATGACTCTGAAGACGGCTTTCACCTTGGTGGCTTGGCATGATGGATCTTCGGTGTTCTGTCCAGGTCCCAAGCTGCTGCATTTGTAACGCTGATGGCGGCGGGGGGCGGGGGGTCTTTTCATCAGTAAAGCTGTGGAGCCGCTTCCCGAACTGAAGCCTTCTGGGATAGCAAAACCTTTCTCATTATTCCTCACTGGTGTTTTGGTTTTGGTTTGGTTTGGTTTGGTTTTTTTGGTGAGCAAGATGAAGCTTGTATTTGGGAACACAGGTTAAACATATAGTTTGCTCAATCTGAATTATTTTTATGCAGACAGCTATGTGTCCTTTCTTTTTTTTTTCTTTTGCCACAGCCTTTCTGAAAACAGAATGGGGAGGGGTTGGCATCCAAGTAAACCAGGGTGGGTAATAAACCTCCATATGGCCTTACCTTCTCACTTTCCTTGGTGCTCATCATGACAGTCCCCAGAGTTACACCCCAAAGGAGAGTCCAAAAATAGAAACAGTGAGTCAGAAGGGGTCTCCTGGCCATCTAGTCTGACCCCTGGCTCCAGCTGGCTCCGCTCACAACATGCCTTCCATGTGCATGTCCAGCCTATCCTTGAACACCCTCACTGATGGGACTTCAGCCCCCTCCTGTGGTGCGGAAGTCCATCCCATACCCTCGGGGCCCTAACCATCAGGAAGTGCTTCCTGGCATCCACCCTAAATCTTGTTTCCCGGAGCTTTACAAAAACACAGGCAGCTGTGTGGATCCATACCAATGTAGTAGTTCCAGCAGGAGTGAGCAGATCTTTTGGAAACTGAATGGGTCTTATTTTCCCAGTCAAGACCACGCTGCCCTCAAATACTTTGCATCACACCGGGGAAGGATCTATTGTTACTTGGAAGACGAAAAATGAAAACTCAGGCAGAACAGTCTGGGCAGAAAGTCTGGGCAGGAAAAGGCAGGAAATGAAGTCAGTGTCCTTACATTAAAATGTCATGCTGCATTGCTGTGGGCTCTGGCAGGGCCACCCTGCTGCCTTTCTTCCCCGGGACTCGAAGCAGCAGCCGCTGCTTTTCCAGGCAGCCTCGGATCAGACACGGGCCGCGCCCTGCCATTGACTGAGCGTCAGCTCTGAAAAAGCCCCCATGGCCAAAGTGCAGCCAATGTGCTAAAATGATCATTTCTCTTACCAAATCATTTATTCCTTCTGGTTTCAGAGGAGTTTCCCCATGCGCATGTGAAATCCAACTTCTCGCAACAGGAATGAGGCGACTCCCTTTTGTTTTGTTGAATTTGACTTTTGAGGAGAGATGTTTGAAACAATAAAAGGGAGTTGGTGGCGTGACCAGGGCCCTCTTGTCTGCCCTCTCTCTTCTCCAGTGCTGGTTTGGAATGTTTTCATAACACTTAGCATGGCAGGCACGTTTTTCCGTGCTGTCCTGGAGCCTTTGAGGATTGTGCGCCTTTAGGAAGTCTGCTGCTGTCAAGATAGCCAGCATGGGAGCATGAGTCAGGGCAAAGTTTCCTCAGGAGCCCTGGCCGCTCATTTCTTGGCCAATCGGATCCTCTTGCACTGGCATCCATATTGATGTTGGCTAAGGAGCCGTGGAGGGGTGGGTGGAGGGGGCAAGGGTGAGCAGGGCACGAATGCAGGCAGGGCTCTGATCCCATCGTCCACGCAAGGGCGGGGGCTGGAAGGGGCTAGCGCCTTCCCCCTCTCAAAAAAATGTGTGCGAGAGAGAGAGAGAGAGAGCAAGAAAGAACTCAAGTATAACTTTGGGGAAGCAAAGTGAATTGGTGCAAGTCCTCGGACATTCCAGACCTAGGAAACGGCTTGTAAGATTCGCTTTTTCTATGTATTTAGTTTGGTATTTAGTTTGTTGTATTAAGCTGTATACATTGCCTCACAGGGAGAGCAGTGTGGTTTTTGTTCTGTGTATGCGGTATGGGTATTAAAATGCCACTCGCTTTGGCAGTTGTGATCACGCGACATAGATCTCTATGCCTCAGTCTTCATCTCGCTCTGAAAGTGTTTGCGGTGCAGGTAAGGCCAAACAGACTACCTTGCTTGAATGGCTGCAGATCTTTTGGAAGGACTCCATGAGATACTGGAATTTGTGGGGCTCTTTCGTTCTCACTTTAAAAAGATCGTAGTTATAATGCCATCCCATCAGAATGATTTGCTTAAGATGCAGTCCTGGACTTATTTAAACAGAAAGTCTTACAACGCCCAGCGATGCTTCAGTCTCCCTGCTGACTGAGAGTTGGGCCAAGCAAGGTGGAGGCACCTGTTAAGGCAGAAGCACAGTGACTGTGCTTGCATGACTTGCTGAGCTCCCGAGTTATGCGGTGTGGACTTTTCGGGATGATTGGACAGCTTGTCCTTTGTCCTTTCTCCTTGATCCTACAGCCAGGGCCCACTACTCTTCCTGGCAGAAACCATTTTGTCTCCTGCAGCTCCCCCTTTTTCTTAGCCTCAATTCGTTTTGTTTTTCTTCAGAGTTTCAAAAAAATCCAGTGGCAAACTTTTTATTTTTGCCCCTTGAAAATTGCACAGCTACGTTTATCATTGTGCTTACTGTTGACCTTTTGCAACTACATACTTAGTGCTGCCCAATAGGTGCAGTCTTGCCTTTTCAGAGACCTTGTAAGCATCAGCTGTCAAAGGGATCTCCCCTTTTTGAGGTACCTGGAGATACAGTGTAGTGTTGAGAAGGTGGAGAGCATTGAGAGCTGTCAATTCAACAACTACGTAAATCAAGAGGAATTCGTTGCTACGTGGGTAATATCACCGCCACCGTATTTTCTCTGCTTTCCCCCCTTTGCTGGTGCTTTTCAGTTGGCAGCTAGGCAATTGAACCTGGCAACAGTGCACAGGATAGCCCACAGACAGTCCACTTTGACAGCCGAAACTTGCAAGGCAAGTCTACAGATATTGGACAGCTGTAAGGGTGCATTTGCAAAAGACCAACAGAAATATTTTTTTGAAAGACTAACAGCTGTACATTTTTCCGGGGCAAAGCAAATGGGTGACAAACCAGCAGTGGCCATCACTCCAGATGGATGGAATCACTTGGGCATTAGTGCAGGGGCTGCCACTGGTGACCACACAGGAGAGACTGTGAAAAGTGGCACAATTTTTTGCCATTCTTGCTGGGTGGCCCATTGCCTTATCACTGCGACCCATGATGAAATTGCTTTCTAGGGTCTGGACAACCATTGTGAGCTGAACAGCCCCTGAAACAAACCAGGGATTGTTAGGCTGGCTTGTTCCCCCATGGGAAGCAGAGTAGCTTTGGACAGTATGTCCACCCACAATGGCTAGTTACCCAAATCAGTTGTTGTGCTGTGCAAACCCAGTTGATACGGGGTGACGAGTGGGGGATAAAAACAATTACTTTCAAAATGGGTTTCAAAATATGGGTTTTTTCTGCCTACAGACAATCAAATATTGTCCCTATCCATTATGGGCATTCCACTTTTGTTTTCTACTTTTTTCCCTGAGGTTTTGCCAAGGCAAAGTGAAGCAGAAAAGAGCAACACTGGAGAGGAAAACAAAAGACAACATTCTCCAGTGTGCATGTCTTCTCCTATCCTCTTTCTAAAGCTGCAGTCTAATACCTGCTTTGCTCAGAGTACGCCCTGCTGAACTCCATTGAACTTATATCGGAAGTAACATGTATAGAACTGTGCCGTCAACCTCAAACTGTCATGGGTACTGATCATATAAAAGACCCTATAAGGATATATTTTGAGGATCTTCCCACTGTAGTTTAAAAAGGAAAGCATGCAAAATATATACAGTAAGGCAGCAAGATAACAAAGACTGCCTGTAAGAATGAAGCAGTGTAGATAATACTCTATTTAGTTGTAAATTAACATGGCTTAGTGGACAGATAGGCCCGATTGTTCAGGAAATATATATAGGCATCTTGATTAAATGAGTGATTTCAACTGATGTTTTTCTTA